CTAACACCCAAAATGGTGTTTAAGGTCTAAGATTGAGGGTTTACGGTCCAAGCATGTTCTTGGACCATAAACTCATGTTTGATCCCTTCTTGTATGATTTGGTGCTTCAAATGATGAAGTAGAAGGTCCTAGACACGTTTGGAAGCTTGTGGTGGTGTTTAAGGGCATTTTTAACACCTTAAGAGGTGTTTATGGTTCATGCATGGGGGTTTACGGTCCAAGAAGGTTCTTGGGCCGTAAACTCATGTTCATACATCAAATTTCATGATTTCTGGGTCCTTATTCCATGCATGCAAGTTTCTAGGTCGAATCTAGGCCCTAGAAGTGTTTTGGAGGGGTTTTGAGGCTTCAAAACCCTCATATGAGGTGTTCACGGACTAAGGAGGGTTCTTAGACCATAAACACATGTTGATATGTGTTTTGGGTGATTCCAACATGAATTTGCAAACCAATTATGTTAGATAACAAGTTTAGGATGGATTTCTTACCAAATGATGCTTGAAATGGGGTTTTGAGTCAATTTCGAGTTCTAGAGAGAGAGTGTAGAGAGAGAAAGTTTTTACAGAGAGGGAAAAAGCCTCAAAATGATGTCACTCAATCCCTTATATAGGGGTTGGGTTTGTGGCCCGGTTGAATTTTACCCGATACTGCCGTTAGACGGTGCTTTTGGTTGCACCGGGTAAATTTTGCCGTAACTCAACTTGGTCGGAATTAAAAATTTTAATATGAATATTTTAACATTTTTCTAATGTTTTCCAACACTAGAAGTCGAAATAAAATTAAATTGATCAAAAGATAACGGTAAGATTTTTAAATAAAAATAATCCTTATTAACGGAAATGGTTACGGCAACGGGTTAAACTTCGGGTTGTCACACTTGTAATTTGTTTTGACTTTAGTTTTTGGTCTCAAAATAGGTACAACAATTTAGTTAATTCCATAAGTTTCGAGAGGTATATAAAGAAGTACTTCATATTTATATATATGTCACACCTAAGGTGTGTTACATTATGCTTCTAGTTTTAGGAAAATTTGACCTATCTAGAGGTCTCCGTTTACAGATACAAAAGAAAATAAGGGAAAAACTTTATCCGAGGTCCTAGTCTATATCAAAATTGTTGGAGCTGAGCAAGTTCTACTTGCGGGGTGTTGTGCGTTTGGAGTTAGATTCGGCATCTGACCGCTTGACTCCCATCAGGTGCCTTTCAAGATCTGCTTGTTGTTCCTTCATTTCTCTTATATCTGCTAGTGCGTTCACCATTTGATTCTGAAGCGTCCCCGTGTAGATTTGGGTATTTTTATGTAGTCCTTCCAGACGATGGATGTCTGCGGCGTTACCCTGAGTAGCAGCATTGATCTCGCGAACTCTGGCTGCTTGGTGGTCCGCATGGTAGTTCTGGGTAGCGATAGTGCCCACAATAACAGGAAGTGCTCGATCAGCTAAGCCTCCCCCACTGACATTGTAAAATCTCGACACATACCGAAAGGAGGGCGTACACCTAGTTGGCGGCTCCAGTTGTAGAGATGGCTTCCCCAGATGGGGATGGGTCCTGGGTGATATGGTCTGACTTCGAGAGGATGAGGAGCAGGACGGTCGATCACCTCCGGTTCGGAGTCTGACCCACTAGAAATTTCCACGATCTCCTCGTCTACTTCGAATTCGTCTCTGACTTCGACTTCGAATTCTTCTTCGACTTCCTCCTCGAACTCTTCTTCGACTTCTTCTTCGATTTCCTCTGGGTCTTCCTCCGAGTCTTCTTCTATACAGCCGCCATTACCTTGGTTTAGGTAGTAGGGGTATCCCGGTGAAGGAAATCCGGCCATTTGTCTGTACTGGGATAGAGGTATGAGATTTTTATAAGAAAAGAAATTTCTATATAACGACATCCTACGTTTAACTATATCTTACGGAGTGCAAGTTTTTCATTGTACTATTTTTTATAACAACAGTCCTTTAGTATTTCAAATTAGCGAATCGAAAATAATTTTATAAGTTTTTGGCTTATTGAGTACTACGACCATTCCTCGACGTACATTGGTCAAATCCAGGATAAATATAGTTGATCAGGCTATATTTATTCTTGATTTGATTACATACCCCAAGGATCAATTGTGGTATCGCAACTTGCCTTAACACTTTTAGAAAACTCGTCATGATACGAGATTGATACATGCATGTAAAAATGTATATATTTAAAAGAAAATATATTTTTATGAAAATGTTTTGTCAGAGGGTTTTTGGTTCCCATTGTATTTATAGTTTGTATATCTTATGTGGTTCGATATACTTAGTTCACTATAAACAATGCTCTGATACCAATCTGTCACACCCCCAAACTAGAATGGCGGAAACATTCGGGGGTGGATGACTTCATGTAGTACCATATCAATTGAATATCGTAAAGAAAGTACACAACCATCATATATATAATAAAAATGTACATTGTTGCGTTATACATATTTCCAAAAGAATATTACAATATGATGATATAAATGTTTAACGATAAACGTTCTTTGCGTTCCTTCTTCCAAAAGTTGTTGGTATTACTGGTTCCCTGAGAAATACAAGTGGTTTTGAAAAAGTGTCAACAATTAAGTTGGTGAGTTCATGAGTGTTTTGAGCAGAAAAGTATATCCTTTTTGGCAGCAAATCGGTAAATGAGGTTTTAAGAAAATCCAATATTTTCTATAAATGATTCGAAAAGTTTCCAGAGTTGGAATGCGTTAATATTTTTTGTACTTGAATGATAAAGATAACTTTGTCTGAAAAATAATGTAGAAAACTGTAATGCATATATGAATCTCGTAAATCAAACTTGTTTTTATACTTTTTATGTGAGTTTTATATCCATACTATTGACACTGAATGCCTGTAACAACATTCTTCAGGTGTTGTAGTGTTATGACATTTGTCACTCCAGACCTGCCGGTCTAACTATATCTAATAGTTTAGGTGCGGGATTGTCAATCCCGTATAGATCTATACACAAGTATCACGCTCTCCCTCCAAGAGATTATAGTATATAATACAGGGCTTGAAATGCATACATAAGAGTACATTGAAGTTTAAATATCTCACATTGCTTAGTATAAATAGATTTACAATAAGACTGACTATACTTCTTTTGAAAGTATTTCGTTTATCAAAATGTATATGTAAAAATGTACGATTTACCTACTAATTATACCCATTATAGTTTTTCAAAAAGTATGTTCTATCTGGTGAAAATAATTTGGTGATGTACTAGCCCTTTACACATAAAGATGTTTGTATCGATATTCTATAAGATAGATATTACATTTATGTTTATAAAATGATACTTTAACGTGTAATGTACTTTTATTTCCCCCCCCTAAAACATGAAAAGAGTTGAAAGGTAGGGGTATGAACTCACTTGTTTGGTTCGAAGAGAGAGAGGCTAGAGTTGAGCAGAACTTTGACCGCGGAAAGTTGCGTCTTCGGGCTCTTCGGGGATCTCGGTAGCGTAGATCTTTCGTCGGGAGCTCGGGTACGGAAACCGAGGTGTCGGGATGGTCTCTAAAGCTCTAGGGTGTGTAAAAGTGAGAGAGGATCTGAGAATTGTGAGCAAAAACCCGAAGCTCAACCTCTCTATTTATAGGCTGGAGGATCCTCGTACGCGGGGAGTACTACCGGAGTACGCTGGGCGTACTTCGGTTACGCGGGGCGTAAAAATGCATCACGGCTTACGACTCAGGTCTAGCTAGCGTAGAGCAGTCGAGCCGATGGGACTTGAAACTGGGTCTAGTACGCGGGGCGTACTCTTGGATTACGCGGGGGGTAATCCAGTCTTCCATCTTCTAAATTCCGTAACTTTCGCGTACGGGCTCCGTTTTTCGCGTTCTTTATATCCACGCATAGGTGAGATTATGCTCTACAACTTTCATTTAGACTCCGTCGGCTAGTTTTGACTTTATTTTTTAATGAGATATTGTTAATAGGCCGGGACTACTAAAATCCGTTAAAAATTCATAGTTTCGTTATTCGACGTCGGTTTTTGTTTGTCTTTTTATCATTTTATTAATATTGTGGAGATCTTCAACTTCCGTTTAGGTGACGATTGCTAAATAACACTCAATCTTCAATTCGAGTTTTTAGCCCTCTACTACTGTTACAAAACTTAGGAAATTCGTAACTTCTTCATACGAGGTCCAATTTGGGCGATCTTTTTATGTATGTTTACAGTCTAATGAACTCTACATCTTTTGTTTAGATACTTAAGGCTAAAATGCATTTTATTGAAATTTCCCTTTTTTTTTTAACGTTAAATAGCGTTTTAACGGTGTGTCGTAAATATACGAGTGGTTATAATTTCTTCAATATAACCCGGTTTTGAACGCTCTTTATGTTTTTGGAAACCTTGGCACGATATCTAACATTTGATGTATCCCAACTTAGATATTTGAACACTTTATTTTTGAGGTTAATTTAATTGATTCCAAATAGTTTTCGTTGTATTTGACTTTTGAGCGTTACACTGCTTTTGGAAAAATATCGGGTTGTCACAACAAGTCGTTGAAGCAGTAGTGAAAGTTAGTTTTTTTATGTCAAAGTTAGTTTTCTTAGGGATTGTAACTCATTGAATATGGAACAAAAAAATAATGAAATTATAGCATAAATCAAAGTACAAACTTTAAATTACATGCTGAAAAATATCTCATGTCAGTACAATTTTTCAAACGAATGAGTTATGTGAATTAAAAATTTTCACAAAATATACATAAATGTTGAAATGCTGAAAAACAATAAAAATCGGGAACCGGTAAATAACAAAATAAGTTGAGTGGGATTTCATGTACCGAGAACCGATCTGATTGTACAAAACCGACACATGTGTCTGTCCAGATGCCTAACGCTACACCTCACACCCACCCACACATACCATCGCCCCCACACATAATACATATCCCTACTCTACTCTACCCCACCCCACATATATCCAACACCTACACTCGCATCCACAAGTGCATGCCCAGACCAACTAGCCCATCTCGATGTCGAGGCACACCCCACTCCACCTTATACCTACACACCGAATGCCCACCCTAACCCCATCAACCACTACACCAATCCCCATAGCTACATACAACTTCGCCTCAGCTTGACCACCATACCCAAACCCTAAAACCGATACCCGCCCACCCTTACCCGTATCCCACACCACGATACCACACCTATAACTATACCCACACATCCCACCCCATAGCCACACCTTCCTTACACCCGTACCCGCACCCAAACCCAAAACAATTCGTACATCTACACGTACGAAGTCACAAATATATACCCACCCCACCACACATTACACCCACACACACTCATCCATGTCATATTATATAATTTACTCTCCAATCCTTTTATAAATATTCAAACCAAACAAAAATGAGATTTCACTCCATGTCATCAAATGCTAGTAACCGCTAATTTCTTTTTGTTTTATTTTTATATATAAAATTTACATATAAATACTACCACCAACCATTTCGTTTTTAACATCGAAAAAAATATTTCCTATCACCCCAAGTTGTTAAATTTACATGATGCTATAGTCCTAAATGAAGGTCAAATATTTGAAGTTAACGTACATCCAATCACACATCTTTAATTAAACAGAAATAAGAAATAACGATATAACTTAGCTAGTACCTTATTAGTATATAATGTATCAAATATGGACATGTTGGTGTCCAAAAGACAGTTAATAAGTTTAACATTTTGACCCTCGGTCATTATTTTCACTATTGTATATACTTGCAATAAAGGCCGTGTCATTTACATAAATATATTTTGAGAACTTCATCAAATATCATCAAAGAAAATGTGCACTTCCAACTCAAATGCAATCAAGTTATAAGCTAGAACAAGATCAAATCTTAATCTAGACATAACATCAAGTTATCAACCGCAGATTCACTATACCAAAAATTAGCATCCAAAATCCTGAAATACTAAAAAAGGAACAGAGGTACGTCTGTGTTTCTTGAGATTTCACGAGAAGTTGACAACACAGGCTGTAGAGCTCTTTTCAATCATTCTCAAATCCTTTTTGATATTTGTTTTCCTATTGAAATCCTGTAGACAAGACTCAGACCACACAATATTAACCCTCTCCAAAACACACGCATTCTCCAAAACACATTTTAGGAAACATATTTCTGAATTATAACCATGAAACTTCTTCAAGGTCATTGTCTTGAGGCAATTCGAGATGCATTTAGGTATCGAAGACCAAATTGAATTGTTCACCCCAATGTGCTTGTCGTGCATGAATCCCTACAAAACAATTTTAGAAATTTTTTTGTTAATATCATCATCATCCTTTTGAAGTTTTAATTTTGAGAATAGTGTAATTAATCCACCTCTAAGAAACAAATAGATTGTAGAACTGGACAGAAGGAAAGCAAAACCATATGCTTTATCCCAATTTCCATACTTAGCTCTAAATTGTTCAAATTTCGGAACACCAGAAAACGGATATTATCTCCAAATAAAAGAGTCTTCACATGGGAAAGAAAACACGCAAACACAAAAGTCAGTTTATACATGTTGGTACAAAGAGATGAGATTTCCAATATATTCCATTTAAAATGTAGATTATATATAATGCGAATTACCTCTATAGTTTCATCACATAACTTCAAAGACACGACACATTGTAGTTGTTTGAAAAGATAAATAGCTCGACATGCAACTATGTTTAGCCTCCCTCTAGGATTTGGAATGTTAATGAAAGATTTGACGAGAGATGGTGTGTTATTCAAGATAATATTGTTAGATAGAAATCCCATATATTCAAAATATGTAAGATTTGTAGCATCAATCTTGATGTCACAACCTCTCTCTCTAGGATCACTAATCCACATAAACGTACCACTTGGTCATGTATTTTCAATCTCTTTAAAGTGGAATTAGAAATTGTAACGTTCTTCAAATTCATAAAGCAGCATTGAAATAAGACCAATTCTTCAAGAACCGAACAACCAGAGAAAATCTTTTCAGTAAAATCATCATTTGGGAACTCAACAGATAGGTGTAAGGTTTTCAAACATGGAAAAGAAACATGAGATGCGTGTTCTGTATTCATAGACATCATTTTTATTTTCAAGGTGACCAATGATGTGCTATAAAACATAGCCTGAGGAATCACATATGGATAAATTGCATAGAAAGATAGATCAAGCTCCTGAACATTTTGCATGATTGCATGAGAAATCCATGAATGTATTTGAGATGTGTTATTGAAAACACGAAATGACAGACAAAACTTCTTTATCTTTAGTACGTTCTGGAGAACTTTTTCTACAAAGTTCACAAAGGAAGTCAGGCCAGTGTTCCTCCATCTAGGAGTAGCACACAATTTATCGTCAAAATCAATGTTGGGAGAAAAAGTCCAGAGGTTCTTCCATCTTGTAGATAATATAGAAGTCTTTACAGCTTCTGTTGTATTCATAAACGACATAATATGATGAAGAATACAATCAGGAAGATTGCTGAAATCACAAGCCACATCACCTATATCCTCAATTTTATGTTGCTCATGCCGTTTGTGTTCACTCATGCTTAGCTTCTTTGAGATCTTAAAAAAGACCTGCAAAATGTGAAGTTTAGCTTCTTCAAAATCAACTAAACTGAAAACATTCAAGAAAAACAATTTAACTACATCTATATATTAAATAATCAATTTAACAATACAAACCCTAGAATTGTTGATTTGGTAACACTCATCGATATATTAAATAAAATGATAGTTTTTTGATTCACCACTCTTAAAATAAGAGGAGATATTAAATCTAAATAACGGGTACAGTTAAAAAGACGCTATGAACTCAGTCGATATGATAAACAACATTCATCTTCAATATAAATAAACGAGCACAGGCTGTATGTGTTTCCTCATAAATTTGTATATAAACACATACATAGAGGAATAGAGAGATGGCTGACTTTTAATAGCAGATTTGAGATTGTGGATGTGTTGTGCAGCAACGAATCATGGACGCCCATTCGCGACATGACTTAGTGGAGTTTTGCCGGAAATTGGTATGGCGGTTAAAATTTGAGTGTGATCGAGTTTGAGGAAGCCTGAAGCCCTCTCCTTCTTTTATATGTACAACCTTACAAGTTTCGTCCCTTAGTTCCCGAGATTAATGCAAAACACCCATATTTTAATAAGGGGCAGTTACTAATCTAGCCAAATTAAGGAAGTGATTATCAACTTTTAGTAAAAAATTAGTAAATGTTCCAATATAGCCCACGAAACCGTAGGTTTCTAAAATCGTCTACTGTTTCGTGTTTTGTATAATTCAAAACATTAGACTTTAAAAAAAAACCGTATTCTTTTTGTGATATAGAGTATTAAAAAGATTGTTTATAAGATGTAGAATTATTTTAACAATTATATTATTTATAATATGTAGAGTTGTTTTTTGACAATTATTTTGTTAAAAATATTTCTTGTAAAATATAAAAACTAGTTTTGCTAAACTTGACTACTTTTTTGTCAGAGTGGACTACTGTTCTGTAAAACTTGACTACTTTTTTGCTAGTGTGAACTACTGTTTTCTTAAACTTGACTACTTTTTTTTCAGAGTGGACTACTATTTTAAACCTACCATATATTAACTTGTTTGTCTGTCTATGTGGTGGTTGAAGAAGACGTATCACGTAACGAAGTGGATGATAGAGGAAAGGCATCTGCATGTAATTTATCAAGTGGAAAAGGGAGCAACAACCCAATAGGTAATTTTAAAAGTCCAAGTAAAAGTCAATATCAATGTGTCGCTGAAAATGTAAATGTAGTGCATGTAGTCCTAGTAGAACCGATTATGTATGTTACACTGGAGAATTATAAGTATATCGGTGATAATGATGTTAGTACATATGTTAATCATGTTGGTGTAAATCATTACTTTAACCAAAAAAAAGCACTAGGCGTGGTTGATAAGGTTGGTAATGAATCTGGAAAACAAGAAGTTCCATTTTTGCATGATGGTGAACTAAAAGGATATGACGAGTTTGCGGATTGTGACAAGTTGGATATATCCGGCCTAGAGAGTGATTCTAACAGAGAAGAATTTGATGATGAACCTAAACTTATTTATCCAGATACCATGTTTCATGGTATGCCCCCATTGCCTTCATGTCCTGCAAACGATGATGTGAACATTCCATGTCATAGGGTGGATATAAATGAAGAGATTAAAATTATTATTCTTCCAAATAATTAATTGAGGCTTTTGGTCGTACCCGATTTAATTATTTTTATAACTTGACAGAATAAAATTATTATTCTTCCAAATAATTAATTGAGGCGTTTCCATGGATTTCTAACGTATTTGGACTATTATGAAGTCAAAATAATAAACCTAAAATAAATGACTTAATTTAGAAACGGACGGAAACAATTTAAGACGACGAATTTTTAATGACGTATCGGGTTACGACGACGGAACGAACTTCGGGTTGTCACAAATATTGTGCTAGATAAAATAGCCATTAGGGATTATGCAACGCAACAAATTTGTGTATATATCACTTAATTTTTAAGGATCTTTTAGATGCTTTTGGTCCACTTTAATTTGGGTGATCTTCAAGTGCAGTATACATTAGTTGATTGAAGGATTTAATTTATGATGTGTGTATATGATTTAACTTAGTGTATAAGCTTTTGAATCCGATTTTCTAATGGATGTTGGTTTTGTATAAATATAGCTTTCCTTGGGTTACATGTGTTACTTGAGTTTGTTTTCTTAGTAGAGTATGAAGGCTATCCGATCCCCCGAGTTCATGTTCGTTCCAACCATCGCTATCATGCTTTATTTTTGTTTTGTTTGATGTTGTCATTTTCGTTTCATCTTAGGTCATCCAAAATAGTGCAATACCCACCGCCAACCATTATAGTGATGGGCGTCACCTTATCACCACAACCAATCACTATGACCGTAGGATGCCTAGAACCGAACACACAACTCCACATAGCTTGCCTGATTAATAGTTTAATTACTGAAAGTTTTATCATTTTTATTGAAAAAAAGTTACAAGAAATCAATAAAAGAGTTGGAGTTGAACATTCTAACATAAAAGAATAAAATTTATAAAAAAAAAAAAAAACAATAACAATAAAAATAATTTTATATATGTATGTCACGAGAGCAATAAAATATTTTTTGCCAAACTTCAATTTTTAATCGGTTTAGTAGATTAAAATGGAATAACATGATTACAATGAAACTAAATTAAATGACGAATACCATACTAGTGACAATTAAAGAAATAGAACATTAGAAAGATGAGTAATACTTTATTATGGGTCGTTATTTTGTCTATATATTGTTGTTTGTTGTCCCTCTTTTTTGCCTTGTTCATTTTACGTTGAGAGTTTTAATAATACATGGCCGTTTCCAAAAAAAAAAATTAAAAAGTGTCTTGGTTAATATTTATTTTGTTGTTCTTTTAATTGTTGTTGAATGATGGATTTTTTTATTTGGCTTAACTTTGGTGTTGGATCAAAAATATGGTTTATACTTTGCTTTTGTAGGAAAATATGTTTTTTTTGTAATGTTTTATGTGTTTGCGATTTGTGTGTACGACCCTACACAGGGTGTGTGGTTGTACACATGTGTATGGCTGGAGGTCCATATAAATAGAGGAGTGCATGTGGGAGTGTACGGTGGTAGAATAGAGCATCTTGTAGAGAGAGAAAGCTAGAGAGAAGAAGTGTGTGTGTGAGAGAATGTATTGTAATGAGCATAATTCGTTTCATTAATACATCATAGATTCATATTAATTCTTCTTCTCCTTCTCTTTTATATGATCTGACATCATCCAATTGATTGGGATTCCGCACCATCAATTGGATCTGATTGATACATAAGCGATTTTGAGGACTTACAATTGGTATCAGAGCTTGGTTGTATCAATCAATTTTTTCAGATCTGGAGCTTATTTGATCTTATTTTGAAAAGAGAATAGCGTTTTTGGATAGATCTCGCAAAAATAAGGGGGTTACTTCTTTGTATTTTTCATAAAAACGAGTTTTTGGTCGAATTTTAGAGCAAAGAAAGGTGAAAAACGTCGTTTTTTTCGCGAATCTGTTGAAGGTGTACGGCCCGGTGTGCTGCTGGTTGAAGGAGTGCGGCTCGGAGTATACGGTTGGGTGTGTGCGGCTCAGCAGTGTGCGGTTCGGTGTGTGGAGCCGGCTTCGTGTGCGGCTCGGTCATGTGCGGTCACGGTGTACGCCTCGGTTTCTCGGCTCAACTGCTTCGCTCTCGTATCAACAACATCTTCGGCTCGCACTTGGCTCACCTCGCAAGCAGCAACCTCGCACAGCATCCCTTTCATAAAAAAAAAAGGAATCGTATTTGAATCTGCCAGGATTCGAACCCAGGTCTTCCCCCTAGACAACTGGTGCCTCACCATCTCGACCAACTTGGTTAATATTATTCTCCTCCGAAATTTAAAACATAACTTCTCCTTCTCGGTTATTATTTTCGAAAATTGGCAGTTTTAACCCTAAAAATCAATTTTTTTTATTTCTAAATTCTATTTTCAACCTAATTTTTTTTTTTTTTAATTTTTGATTTTATTTTTATCTTTGACCTTAAAATTTTGACTTTGACTTTTAAAAGTTGACCTTTGATTTTAAATTTTGACTTTCTTGTTTGACTTTTAAGTTTTTCAAATTTGGCTTTTCGGTTTCACTTTTATGTTTGACTTTTCAAGTCTGACTTTTGAGTTTGACTTTTTTAAATTTAACTTTTAAGGTTGACTTTCTCGGTTTTTAAGTCAAAGGGCAACTAAAAAAATATAAAAAAAATTAAAAAGATATATAAAAATAAAAAAATGAGTTTCACATCAATTCCGGTAAATGAAGTTTCATGTACTCCATCTTGTAAAGCTACGATTAAATTTCTTCGCGAACAAATTAATTTGCTAAAAATGGAAAATGAGGACCTTAAATATGAAGGCTATACTCTAAGGAAAGGTCAGAAACCTTTAAAAGCACAATTAGAGGCCACGACTAAGGACTTTAGGAAATTACAAGAAGATTACAGCAACAAGTGTCAAAATTATGATCACATTAAACGTAAACTTGCTGCTGTAATTGAAGAACTTGATGCTTTGAAAATAAAGTGTGGAAAAACAGATGTTAGTTTCAAAAATTATACTGCATCAAGTAAGACAGTTGAGTCCTTAGTAGAAAATCAATTGATTTTTAAAGATAATCAAACCAAGGGTGTAGGGTATCATAGTGTGCCCCCTCCTTTTAATCAAAACTATAACCCACCCCTTGAGATCAATGAGGAAGAAATGCCTGCTCAGTATGGCCAAACCCCTGCTCTAGATTCAGTTAAGACTAAACAATCAGGGCCAACTGAGGGTGCTAAGTTGAACGATACTAATGATTCTACTTCTTGTGCAGGTAAAGTAGTAGAGGATGAGAACAACGAGAAAACTATTAAACACACCAATGACTCCTTGAACTCTGAATCTATTGCTTCGAACTCAGTTGCTTCTGATCAACCTACTGTTGAGAAGTACACGCCACCAAATCACGTG